CCCAGCCCAGGCCCCGGCAGCTATGCAGATGTCCCCACGGCGGCGGCCAGAGCAGGTTTCGGGTCCCCATGGGGCTTGGGAGGAGGGGGACCGCTGTGTGGCCCCCAGTGATGCCCGCCCGACCCCGGGGTGCACCGCAGCTCCCCGAGCCCTGCCGTGCGCGCTCCTTGGATGCACCTGTGCAGCTCTGGCCACAGCCGCCACCGCACAGCCTGGGGCCAAGCCGAGGCCCAGGAGGCCTGGGCCTTGCAGGCCCCCACACCTGGGTGCGCTGACGACTGAGCGTGTGACCTTGGGCACACCTGGTCCCTGGAGAGTCGGGTGCAATTGTGGCGCCTGTGCTCCTGCGGCTGCTGGGAGGGAGGAGTGGGTTGGAATCTGGTTCAGGGCCAGCCGCCAAGGGCTCCTCCGTGCAGACCTGTCCGGATCCTGATTTCTGTTCAGTGGCCCTGGTCTGCAGCAGAGGGGGTCAGTGGGGGCTGATCAGGGGTCGGGGAGGCTGCTTTGCACACCAGGGCCGACCCAGCTGTGTGTGTGTCTGTCCTCCTTGTGCACGGAAGGCCACACTCCAGCCAGCTCTACCAGCATGTGCCAGAGACACACTGGCCCATTGTGTACTCCCCGCGCTACAACATCACCTTCATGGGCCTGGAGAAGCTGCACCCTTTCGATGCCGGGAAATGGGGCAAGGTGATCAATTTCCTAAAAGGTAGGGAAGGTTTCCTGGGGCCCTGCGTGGGCTTCCTCACCCCTGTGTCCTCCCCATCCTCATTCTCATCGGGAGTGTCAGACTCTTACCTCTGGATTCAACTGTCACATTCCCCTTGTGCTCTTCCCTTTGGCAAAAGCATCTTCCAGAACTGATTCCCAAGCACCATGCATTCCTGACTCACCCTCTGTGGCTCCCCACTGCTGTGGATGAAGTCCCCCCTCTGCCCCATACACCCACAGGGAGGAGTTGGCTAACCCTAGACCCAGGGACGTGGGAGTCTGAAGGAGTCTAATACCCACTCAGAGAACTTGAGACCTGGAGTGCTTTTGCTCCAACGTTGGCTGATGACAGATGGGGAAACTGGGGCCCAGAAAGGTTGTGATCGTGCCTAAAACACACAGCACCCTGGGAGCCTGAAGCCCAGGGGGAGTCTGCAGGCCCCGCCCACTTCTGGCTTCTCCTGGATGCTTCTCCTTCAGAGCATCCAAAGTGATGCCCTGGGATCTGACCGTCCCTCCTGACCACACCATGGGCAAGGTCCCATCTTGGGGCGAGCCTGTCCGTGACACCTAAGCCCAGTTCTCTTTTTCTCAAAAGCTAGAGCGAGGCTCGGGCTCTGAGTCGTGTGGAAAATAGGGTCCAACTGGAGATGAATAACACTGGCTGTTTTCCGTCGTATGTTTTTTAAATTTCTGGTTGGTTTTTTCTCTCTGGCTAGTGACACTGGCTTTCCATTTGCAGTAGGGACTGGAGCGGGCATTCAGAGGAAAACAGGAAGCATAAAGTCACAGGTGACAGGGACAGTGACAACCGTGGCAAGTTGACAGGCATGGGAGGGAAGCAGGAGCCATGGGGCGAGGGGCCTTGGATGCCCTGCTAAGGAAGGAGCCATGGAATATTCTGGAATGGAGTTCCTGCTTGGAGCTCTGTATAGAAAACGTATGGCACTAGTTGGGTTCCCACCAGGACTGATCTCTGTTGCTTTTTTATTTATTTGTACCTGGGATTGAACTCAGGGACCCTCAACCATGAGCCCCGTCCCCAGCCCTGTTTTGTATTTCATTTAGAGGCAGAGTCTTGCTGAGTTGCTTAGGGCCTCGCTCAGTGGCTGAGGCTGGCCTCCACCTGACGATCCTCCTGCCTCGGCCTCCGGAGGGGCTGGGATTCTAGGCGTGCCACAGGTTCTACTTTTGCAAAATGGAGCAAATCTTGTCGCGACGTAAGGGAATTGCAAATCATGCCGTGTTGCCCAAACACCAGTCACTGGCAACCGACTCTTGGGAGCCTGCCAGGCTGTTCATGCCACCTGTTCCACTATTTACTGCATATTTTTAATGACTTCGCCTCTGGGTTGGTTTGTTTTTTGTTTTTTTTTAAACAAACTTAAATTTGATAGAAGAGGAAACATGATGTCATCTAAATGGGAAAAGCCAGTCTCACGGGCCAAAAATAGAAGGTCATGGTTAAAAAGAAGCCATGAAACAGCAACGTCGTCATCCAGTCCTGGCTGGCGGCTGTGGCTCAACTGGCGCTCCCGCTTGGTGACAGAGATGTGAGCGGAGGCCAGGTGGGCGTGGAGGACAGGCCTGCCGTCTTGGTGGCCTGGGAAGCCTGAGGCAGCCCCGGGTCAGGATGCCCCAGGCCCACAGTGCCCAGCTCTGGGGAGGGCCGGGTGGGCGGGAGGTGAGCGGGAGGAAGCAGCGCTGTCTGTCTGTCTGTTGCAGAGGAAAACCTGCTGTCAGACGGCATGCTGGTGGAGGCCCGGGAGGCCTCGGAGGAGGACCTGCTGGTGGTGCACACGAGGCGCTACCTCAACGAGCTCAAGGTAGGGCGCTGGGGACCTGAGGCTCCTCCCACCAGGGGCGTGGCCAGAGTGGGCGCTGGGCCTCAGGCCACCCTCTCTGTTCCTATTGAAGGAGGAACAGGGGAGTCACTTCTCTCTGGAGGAGAAGACAGAGGCCACAGAAAGCCTTCTTGGTGTGTAGTGAGCTCCCCTTGGTCAGGAGATGTGGAAACAGGGCTTTCAACCTGGGCGCCCATGGCGCACACCTATGATCCCAGCGGCTTGGGAGGCTGAGGCAGGAGGATCGCAAGTTGGAGGCCAGCCTCAGCAATGTAGCAACTCAGCGAGACCCTGTCTCTAAATAAAATAGAAAAAGGGCTGGGGACGGGGCTCAGGGGGTAGTCAACCTGGGTTCAATCCCTGGAACCAAAAAGAAAGAAAGAAAAGGAGAGAAATGAGGATTTTCTCCTGAACCTTCTGCTTCGTGGGACGCAGTCACTTCTACTTTGGTGACTTTCAGTCTGGGCTCCGCGAACAGATCTCACAGACCCTGCTGGGACGACTGCAGTCGGGGAGAGGAGACCCTGTCCCCTGTCCCCATCCACCTCAGCCTTTTCTGCTTCTGCCGATTTTTGTATTAGGCTGAACTTAAGGTTCAGTTCCAGTGACTCCTCATAAAGACTTGCCAAAACCTGTTGGGCTAAAGACTAGTTCAACCATCCCCCAGGGATCAGAAGGGGACATAAAGGAGTTGGTGGGCAGGTGACAGACCTGGGACACCTCCACGGTGGTCCACAGTGGGCCCCATGTGGCCAGTGCACCTGGCTTTCTAAGAGAAGCCAGAAATTCAGATGATTACATGAGACTTTCTTATTTATGAGTGTGGCAACTCGGTTTTTTTTTTTCTTTTTGGCACCAGGAATTAAACCCAGGCTGCTTAACCCCTGAGCCTGCCCCCAGCCCTTTTTATTGATTTTTATTAAGAGACAGGGTCTCGCTGAGTGGCTCAGGGCCTTGCTTTTGCTGAGGCTGGCCTCCACCTTGCCATCCTCCTGCCTCAGCCTCCTGAGCCACTGGGAGGACAGATGGGCTTCTTATAAGATTTTAAAAGTCCACATGGAGACCAGCCTGGGCCCCCCGGCTGCCCACGGGGGACCCCTCTCTGGAGGACACCTCACAGCTCCTGTTAGTGGCTGAGGTTCTGAGGGCCCGGGCATTTGGGTCCCGTTAGTGGGAGCAGAGAGCAGTTGGGAGTGTGTGGCTGCTGGGGATCGGCTCCTGCCAGCCTGCCTCGGGGGTGGGGCCGGGTCAGCGAGGCCTGACCCCCAGCTGCCTGGCTGGACTCACAGTGGACTCAGTCACGTGGGTGCCAGAGGTCAGCAGCTCCTGATGTGTGGGTAGAAAAGTGAGGCCCAGAGAGAGAGGCTGTGCCTGTCCATTCCTGGCCCCTTCCTTCCAAAAACCCGGGAGCAGCTTGCTTCGTGATAAAGATTTATGATTTAAAAGGTCTGAGCAGAGACAGTCCTAGGTATATAGACTGAGGCCGGAGGAGAACGCAGGCTTGAAGGGGAAAGTGAAGGTACTAGGTAGGCTGTCCATTCAGCATGGGAGCTTCCTGGCAGCCAGAGCAAAAGGGGAAATGTGGTGATTTCCAAGACGCCTAACTAAGGTGAAGAACTGGTCAGGCCACACATGTTATTCCATGCCAATGGTGTGCTGAGCGCCAAGAGAAGAATGCGGCTCAGGGTTCCTGCCTCTGTGGATTTGCCGGTCAGTTGTGGAGGCTTGAAACCGAGATAATCGCACAAGAGCATCTCTCAGGAGGCTGAGGCAGGAGGATCGCCAGTTGGAGGCCAGCCTCAGCAAAAGCGAGGCCCCGAGCAGCTCAGCGAGACCCTGTCGCTAAATAAAGTACAAAATGGGGCTGGGGATGGGGCTCAGGGGTTGAGGGCTTCTGAGGTCAATCCCTGGTACCAAAAAAAAAAACCAAAAAGAGAGAGAAAGAGAGCATCAAGTGAGGAGGTGAGGTTTGAGCGGTCACCAGAGATGACAAAGAGGTGACAAGCCAGTGGAGCTGTGAAGGGAGAAGGTGCCACAGACCGGGAAGGGGAGGGGTCTTGGTTTCCCACGGAGAGGAGGGACCCCCTGGTGGCCAGGGAAGGGTGGGCCATCAGGAAAGACTTGGCTGTGGGGGACGAGGTGCGGGTGGCCCGCAGTGGCCCCGCTCACCCTCCTGCGTGCGGTTTCTCGTCCCTGTTTTCTGTTGTGGGATTGAGGACAGAGCCCTGCAGTGTCCCCGCAGGGGTCCCCGAGAACAGCTCCAGTGCCTGTTCTCTGTGAGTTACGTAATGGTCACCTTGTCCCCTGCTGTGTCCCTCTCTGTCCCCACCCCGGTTCTGGGCTTCATGCCCGGCCCTGCAGGAGTGTCCATGCACAGGGCACGGAGGAGAAAAGCCATCGGATGTTTGCAACAAAACATCAAAGCAGGGAAACCCATGTTTACTGAGCACCTACTGTGTGCAAGGTCCAGAGCTGCCCATGGAGGGAGGCAGCTGGGCGCAGCCAGTGCTGGGCTCCTGCCTTCTGTGGATTTCCATGACCCTTTGTCTTGCGGTCCGGGTCCGTGCTGGGCAGCGTGGGCATGTGGCCTTGGGCACCCTGTGCCAGGCTGCGCCAGTCACACACCAGTCCAGTGGACGCCCAGGAGCCCAACACTGTTGTGGGTGCTGCAGGGCTGGGATGGAACATAGGAGGCCAACTCCTTTCCCTGTGGAGCTGAAAGGTCAGAAAGCCAGTCAACAAACAAAATTACCAAGTAATGGAGTCACCGACCTCAGCTCCTGGGGGCAGAAGTCCCTGGTAGAGAGGGAGAGAATGGGAACTTGGAGTCAGTCAGTCTCTCTGTCTCTCCCTCTCCCTCTCCTCTTCCCTCTCTCCTCTTTAAAACTATTCTGATAAAATTCATGGCTGGGCCAAGTGGAAATCCCATTGCCAGATTCAAGCTCATAAAGATGTACCCCTAGGATGGGTGCAGTGGCCCACGCCTGTCATCCCAGCGGCTGGGGAGGCCGAGGCAGGAGGATTGTGAGTTCAAGGCCAGCCTCAGCAACTGCGAGGCCCTAAGCAGCTCATCAAGGCCCTGTCTCTAAATAAAATATGAACTAGGGCTGGGGACGGCCTCCAGTCTGTGGGCCTCCTCGGGAGGTCCTGCCTCTTCCCTGCGTTTGGTCTCCCCATCCATGAACATGGGATGTCTTTCCGTTCGCTGAGGTTTTCTTTTATCTCTTTCAGGGATGTTTTCTAGTTTTCCGTAGCTCAGTCTTTCACCTTGTGGTTAAATTCATTCTCAAGCATGTTGATTCTTCTCGAAGCTGTTAATGGAACGGCCTCCTTGATTCCGTTTTTAAAGAAACGAGTGATTTTTGCACATGGATCTTACATCCTGCAACTCTGCTGTGTTGTTCTCATGTCTGTGTTTGCGTGTGTACATTCTTCAGGATCTTCTGGGTCTGTCATTGTATCCTCTGTGGATAGACTGAGTTTTACTTCTTTCTAATCTGGGTGCATTTTTATTTATTTTTCTTGCTTAATTGCTTAGGCTTGACCCTCTAATACTGTGTTGAGTAGAAACGGCAAAGCGGGCAACTTGTCTTAGCACTGACTTTAGGTGGAAAGTCGTCTACCATTATGATATTCACTGTGGGGATTGTTTGGTTTATTTTGTTTTTTTGTGTTTAGGTTAAAAAAGAAGTGCCCTTTGGCCAGGCACGATGGCACACACCTGTCATCCCAGCAACTTGGGAGGCTGAGGCAGGAGGAACGCAAGTTGGAGAACAGCCTCAGTAACTTAGCATGGCCGTCAGCAATTTAGCAAGACCCTGTCTCAATATAAAAAATAAAAAGGCCTAGGGATGGCCGGGTATAGTGGCATCATCCTCTAATCCCAAGCGGCTCAGGAGGCTGAGGAAGGAGGATCACAAGGTGGAGGCCAGCCTCAGCAATTTAGCAAGGCCCTAAGCCACTCAGTGAGACCCTGTCTCTAAATAGAATGTAAAAAGGGCTGGGGATGGGGCAGAGTTCACTTCCATGGGAACAGTGGGGTGGCCGGTCCCTCCTTGACCGCACTCCTGGGTCCGGACCTCTGTGAGGATGTCCGCAGGGGAGACCCAGCCGCAGGAGAGTGGGGTCTCTGCAGCAGGGTGGGTGGGCAGACTGCATTTTGGCCTGTGTGACGTATTCTCGGTGCTGATACTGCCACCCTTGGGCCACCACAGCCTTAGGAGCAGAGCCAGGGGTGGGGACCCGGCTGCAGGCGGTGCCAGGAGCATTCTGGTGAGTGACTTGTTCCTGGACATGTTACTGGGCCCTGTGGGGCTCTTGCAGGGGTTGGTGACAGGGAAAGTGGCCCGGATGCATCTCAGCCAGGCAGGGTTGGGGTCAGTGCGTGGTGTGTGTGCCCGGGGACCTGGAGGTGTCTGGGCCCCTCAAGAGCAGAAGACGGTGCAGGGCCGCAGGGTCCCTGGCCAGGCGCCCAGGCGGGCCTAGGTCCATCCAGCTGCAGTTCTTCCTGTGGACACCAGAGGGCAGCCAAGGGCTTCAGGTGCCCAGGCCCTTGGGGCTGACCTGGTCCTGCAGCCTGGCCTGGGAGGGGCCCGTGGCCGTAGCAGCCCTGCCCTCCCTCCGACTGTCCCATCCTCTGTCCCTCCTTCCTCTGTCCCTTCCTTCCTTGGTGGAGACGGAACCAGGGGTACTTTACCCCCGAGCCCCGTCCCCAGCCCTTTTCATTTTATTGACAGGGCCTCGCTGATTGCTGAGGCTGGCCTCCACCTTGCAATCCTCCTGCCTCAGCCTCCTGAGCTGCCAGGATCGCAGGCCAGTGCGCTGTGCCTGGCTCTGGCTCTCACTTCCTGCCACAGGAAGTGCATTTACCCACGGAGCCCAAGACCATCCCGGGTGCTGAGGGGAGTCTCACTTCCTGGGTCCTCCTCTCTCTCCACAGTGGTCCTTCGCGGTCGCCACCATCACAGAGATCCCCCCTGTCATCTTCCTCCCCAACTTCCTTGTGCAGAGGAAGGTGCTGCGGCCCCTTCGGATCCAGACAGGAGGAACCATCATGGTAGGTAGGGTGGGAGCTACTCGGGAGGCTGGGGCAGGAGGATCGCAAGTTGGAGGCCGGCCTCAGCCACGTAGCAAAGCCCTGAGCAACTCAGCGAGACCCTGTCGCTAAATAAAATATGACAAGGGCTGGGGACGGGGCTCAGGGGTCGGGCAGCGCTGGGTTCAATTCCTGGTGCCAAACAAACAAGATCAAATCACCCTCTTGTAGTGATAAGTCCTGAGTTTGGTTCTGCTCCCCTGCCCAGTTGCGGGTTTGGCCCAGGAAGGGCTGAGTGTGCTGGGGCTGGGGTGGGTGGCTCCTGCGTGCCCCCCTGGTGGCCACAGGGAGCTGGCTTGGACCCCGTGGGTGGAGCGGGTGGAGAGGCCCCCTCACCTCACTCTCTGTTTGTCCCCGAAGGCGGGAAAGCTGGCGGTGGAGCGAGGCTGGGCCATCAACGTAGGTGAGTGCCCAGTGGAGCTGGCCTGAGGGGGGCTGGGGACAGGAAGGGACTAGAGGTAGCCACCCTGAAATTCCTTATGTAGGGACCTGGAGGCACCCTTGGGGCACCTGGTAAGTGGGAGGCTGGTGTGGGCCTCAGCCGTGACCTCCTCCTGGTCACCTCTGGGTGCTGATGCCCACAGATGGTGTCACGGTGACCCGCGCACATGAGGGCCCCTGATGCCCTCCAGGGGACTCCGGGGGCCCGTCTCCCGTGGAGAGTCTGGTGGTGTGGCCGAAGATCCGGGTCCTGGCCCAGCCAGGTTCAGATCCTGCTTCTGCCCCGACCTAGCTGTGTGACCCTGGGCAACCTGCCAACCCTCTCTGTGCCCAAGTCTCCTCTTTTTAAACGGGCCTGGTGGTGACAGTGCCCTCTTTGGAGGCTCCAGCCAGCTGGGCCCTGGGAGGAGCCCTGAGGTGGCGGCCACCATGTTGTGACCCAAGCACAGTGGCCTGGTGGGTGGGACGGCTGTGCCCCTCGGATGCGGCCCCCAGGGCCAGTGTGGGTCCATTAGAGCGGCCTGTGACTCCGGTCCCTCAGGAGTTGCAGGGTGGCTGTGGGCTCCCAGCCCGGGCCGGTGACCGGCTCTCTGCCCACCTGGGGCTGGAGGGGGCCCCGTGGAGGCCTGGAGGGGACCAAGCCCCTGGTGGCCATGACCGTGGCTCTGACCGCCATCTGCCTTCTGCAGGGGGCGGCTTCCACCACTGCTCTAGCGACCGGGGCGGGGGTTTCTGTGCCTACGCGGACATCACACTGGCCATCAAGGTGTGTCCCCGAACGTGGGCAGGGACCGGGCTCCACTGGCCGGGGGTGGTCAGTGAGGTAGGGGACCAGGGGGCCAAGGGGGTATAGCGAGGGACCTGGCAGCAGCCGGCACCCACTGTGTGCCCAGCCCCATCAGCTGTCGCCCACGGCTGGGCCCACATGGGGGACTCCCAGGGTGGCCCTCAGGGTTGCCAGACCCCAGAGCCCCCAGCCACTCTGCAGCGGCCTCATGCTGGGTGTGGGGACAGCCGGGGCTCAGGGCCCATCTGTCATCCCAGCAGCTGGGGAGGCTGAGGCAGGAGGATGGCAAGGTGGAGGCCAGCCTCAGCCCAAGCGAGGCCCTCAGCAACCCCGCGAGACCCTGTCTGTAAATCAAACACAGAACAGGGCTGGGGACGCGGCTCAGAGGGCCAGGTCCCCCCGGCCCCAGTGTCAGAAAGTCTGGGGAGCGAAGTGCGAGGGTGGGGGATCCCCCAAACTCTGTGCATTTCCAGGGGAGTGTGGGGAGGCCCGGGGCTTGACCCCTGCCCACACAGCTCTCCCGGGCAGTGACCTTCGGGCCCACTGGTGAGAGGGCCTGTGCCCTGTGCCCTCGCGTCCCCCTGCCCTCCGCCCTGCCGGGTCCTCACGCCTGCCTGCCCCTCCCTTGGCAGTTCCTCTTTGAGCGAGTGGACGGCGTCTCCAAGGCCACCATCATCGACCTCGATGCCCATCAGGTGAGCTCCCGTGGGAGCCCCGCCCCCATCCCCTGTGGCAGGGGACTCCCCCCCTGCGTCCCCGGCCTCTGTCCCCTCCTCTGCTTCTCAGGCCCGGGGGGAGGGACTCTCTGTCCCTGTGCCCTCCCAGCCCACCCAGGGGGACAGGTCCTGCTTTGAGGTCTTCCCTCCCTCCTCACCGTCACCACACAGTGGCTC